TTTTTCTATATAGTCAGTTCACAACAAGAAGTTGTTAATATCGTTAGGTAAATATTATATTAATCGTTAATAGAATTTAACGTTGTTACTATACGAAGATATATCTTATAAATTGATAAGTTTTTAAACTTTAAAAAAACATTAAATACTGAAAGAAATTAAAGCGCAGTGAAGTGTATTTTTTTATATAAAAAATCTTGATTAGTGATCTTCATTATGCCGCTTGCACTATGTTTGTAATAATACTAACGAAAAGCATTGCACGCATGTTCAAAATTAGAATAACCCGGAAGCCATTTCGTGAAAAAAGAACCTATATTTTTTCTTTCTTACCTTTTTTTCATGAAAAAAATACTAGTTATTTTTACTTGAAAAAAAGGCAAGAAAGAAAGAATTTAGTTTCTTTTTTCAAGAAATGGCACTGTAACTTTGTTTGTAGAGACGTAATACTGGTCTTTGCAAAGTTTGACCAAATCTATCAAACCGTTAGGGCTATGCATCTATTTAAATTTTTATTATAAATTATCATGTGTCGAAAAATCTTCAATTAATTTTTATATGATACTACATATATTTTTTGATTTACATAGTTGGCCGCCTCACCCCAATGATTCAGGCCAGCCGTCAATATGAACATATGATATTGATATTCAGTTCTGCCATTTTCGTTTCGTTGTTTGCTCTTTCCTTCGTTACTATTACCATCTTTTGATTACCCGATCCTTTATATATTCGTTGCACTATTGTTTATTTATTTACTTTTTACTCTTTTCTCTCTCTTTTTTTTTTTTATTTTCTATTATTATTATTTTTTTTTATTTGTCATTTATTTTTATATTTATTTATCATGCTCACAGATTCTGACTGGCGATCGATTCCAAACTTGTATGATAGATCGCTTAGAACCTAGTCAGAATATGCTTTTGTCAAGATGGTTGCTACTGTTGACATATATACCTATAGAATGCATCTGATGACCACCTGCTGATCTTTTGAATGAGTGGTAGTTGTATATTTCGCAGTACTAGTTCGGTTGTGCCTCCTGCTTGGAAGCTGTGTCTTGCTGTATTTGTCCCAGGTAGCATGGATCTTAGGTTGCCGATAAACTAGTGCTTAGTAGCTATACAGCCGTTGGCCTTGATAAATAGCCTGGGGCGTATGCTGGGTTTGTTCTTGGATAGGGCATAGATCATCATTCATTGCATTGATTATAAGAATTGGACGCTCTGTAGGTTTGTGGCTTTTTGTTCTGGGTAATTGGACTGTTGCGAAGGTGTTGTATCCTGATTTGTCAAATCTTAAGGCTCGTATTTTGGGGATTTTGCCAGGTCGTGCTGTGAGTTGGGTAACAGTTTGCCTAATCCTGCTAAGCAGTAAAACGCTATTAGTGCAACTGACCAGAATAACAGGCTTTCTGAATTTGTTATGTTTATGTTTCTTTGTATCTTGTGCAGGTGTTCTCTTGTTATGTGTTCTTTTTGATTTGTCAGGTTGAATAGATGGTTTTCTTCTATAGTTTTTAACACCTGTTTTACCAAGGGATCATAGCATACTTCATTCCAGTTCATGTGGTTCATGGTGTGGTAGCATTTCAGTGCAGATAAATATGATATTATAGTTTGTGGTATTACTTTTGTGTGAAGGTATATTATAAATTTTACAAGGTTGTCTTTTAATACTGGCCATATTGAGTTGTCTACATTTAGCTATCCATGTGTTGTAGCCAGATTTTGGTATCACTTTATGATCGCACTGTAAGTTTTATGTATTAGAGGATTGGTATTCAAAACTGCTGCTGCCTGTCTATCTAATGGTATATTGTTTGATGCTACTGCTGCTATATGATTGGTTTGTAGTTGTGGTTCTGTATCTGTATGTACTTGATTGAGATTGTTACTCCTTATCTCTATTGGATTAGTAATGGAATAATAGATATTAGGTTAGTATATTCTTAGTAAAAAGTGTTGTATAAAAATTATATAGTTTTTATTTAGTTTATGTAGTTTGATAATTTTGTATAAATAAATAAATTTTTATTTTTTTTATAAAATTAAATAGTTAATTTATATATATATATATATATTTTTTTTTTCTTTATATCGGCAGCCTTGCCAGTATCTTTATTAGATCAAAGTATATGCACAAGATGCAATTAAACTATCTAAATTACAAATCTGACATCACTTGGCTACCCCTAAGGGTGCCCAAGTGTGGTCTGCCTCACCGGTTAAGGCTATTGCCCGTACCAGAGAGCTATACCAAGCTAGCCTAAGAAACCATCACAAGATGGTTTCAAAACGAACGAATTTTTTACTACATTATATTGGCAATTTTCCCTTTCTAAACTATCCACCTTTTTTGAACAAAGTTCTAAATCTAATTTTCTATG